TCGTACCAACACCTACCCCCCCCCAGGCCTGTAATGATCTGCTTTCGTGTTGCGAAGTCGCACTGGGAGGAAATGACATCATTAAGCATGAGTCAAGTGCTCGGGGCCGGCGTTCCCCCGAGTACCCCTCCCCATCCCTGGCAGAGCTGGCAAACGGCCTCAAATTCGCTCTCGCCGTGACTTCCCGTGCCTGATCCCGGGGGGCTGTGCGACGTTCCGGAACAGTCCATTCACATAGCAACAGTCGTAACTCATTTCCAGGTGAGGGCATCGTAAACGGGGAGCTAATGCACTTGTCACTCAGTCGCCGGCGATCGATTCATTCTGCACTGTTGATTTACGCGGCCTGGAGCCGCTCTGATGGCGTGTCGGGTGTCTGCTGGCAGCGGGAGGATCGTTTACGGGAAGCGGGATGACTGGAGCGGCGCTCACTCTCAGCCGAGACCCTCGGGGGGGGGGGAAGTTTGACAGAAAAACCCTGGGGGGGCTTCTATCAGTGGAATATGAAAAAGAGGGGGCCCAGTGAGGGTGCCTGAACTAGCTGAGGGGTAACAAAAAAAAAACAGCCTTCGTTCTGGACCTCGTAAGACGAGTGGAAACTTACAGGAGCAGGTAGCACTGGGTCTGGCGTAGGCAGCAAACCATGTTCTCAGGTGCATGACAGCCAATTATATTTTCAGGTGCATGGCAGCCAGTGACATTTTAAGGTGTGCGGCAGCCAATCACTTTCTCAGGTACACGGCAGCCAATCACGTTCTCAGGTGTGTGGCAGCCAATCAGACTTTCAGGTGCACGGCTCATTTCCTCATCCCTGTGTGCTTATTTTGGTTTCCGACTGGAGTCTCCCTGTCACTGTCTGTCTCTGTTTAAGATCTCTCACTTATAAAAAAAAATGGACTTTTATGGAACAATGATTACTCCTGGCAAGTGGAACATTGTGGTTTTCTAGACAACAATCCATCGTGCCAAAACCAGAGTATGAAAACAAATACCCCAGATATCAGCTAAAAAACATGTGTTTGTTATGCAGCCCCACCTCTGGGGGATGCTTCTTTCAGTCCCCCCCCCCCCCCCATCCCCGACGAGGTTCTGAGCACCTGACACCTGCACACAGCAGCTCCCCCCCCCCGGGGGCCCAGCTCAATTCCGCCTCCTGTGTTCCTATAATCTGTGGGGTTTCCCAGCAACACACCCAGTAGTGGGGGGGGGGGTGTTACCATGGTAACCAGAAGTACCACTTAACTAGTGCTAGTTTCCATAAGCAGCTGACTAGGAGGTTAAGAGTTCAATAGAGCCTGAATGAAAGACAAAACCAGCAGCTAAGTAAACAAACAAAGGGAGGAGTGGGAAGACAAAAAAAAAATGGCTGAAGCCCGCAGAGTGTGACCTCACCCAAAAAGACAAGCGTCCGACAAAGGAAGGGACAGCCCCAAAGCATTATGGGAAGGAGGGTCACAGTCAGTGTCCAGACGCTGGGACTGCAATGTGCTTTTACTGAGTCACAGATCAGCTCCCCTGAGCGAAGGAGAGGGGGGGGGGGGGGGGGGGTCCAAACACCCCGGTTCTACTGGCAGACTGAGCCGTTCACTGGACCCATAACCCCAGCCACGCAGTGTCACCGTGAGTAAGAGGGAAGGGACCGTCCAGAGAGGCCAAAATCAAACAAACAAGCACGCAAAACAAACAGTGTAACGAGGAAGGAAGCGTCGCCCCAGACGATGCATGAAGGGGGAGTTACGTCCGCAGCGGCCAGCAACGGCTGCCATGCCAAATGGAGGAGCGAGAGAGAGAGAGAAAAAAATAGCGTCCAAACAGAGCGCGGGGCATCCTGACAATATTTGGCGTGTTCCGGGCTTCAGGCCACGGGCAGCGAGCGGGCAGATGGAGGCGGACACGGCGCCGGGCCGATTCACAGCTGCACAGAACCGCCAAGTTAAGCAAACAAGGGAACGGACGGCGGCGGCAGCCCAAAAGCGGCACGTTACAGCCGATTTATTCAGCAGATGCTTTTTCATCCAAAGTAGATTTTTCGAGGAAGCAGGGTCAGACGGTCCCTGGGGCAACTGGGGGCTGAGGGCCTCGGGCTGGGGCCCGACGGTGACATCACAAGAGGCTCACTTACACCCGGCATGATCAGTTCAGCTGCAAAAGAATCCAAGTGAGACCCCCCCCCCCCACCCTCCCACCATATGTATGCAATTTCACAGTCGCACAACAGTGAGGGAAACACCCCCTCCCCTCCCACATTCCCATTATTATCCCACAACTCCCCATGAGACCACAATGTAGCCCGGCACCTTTTAAAGGCGGGACGCAGCCGTGTTCAGCAGGAGGTTCGCAAATACCCATCCTGCACGCAAATTTTCGTTTTACAGGGTGGTTCGGGAAAACTCATTAATATTCACGAGAGAAGCACTACCTGACTGGCTGGTGAATGCCTGAGACAGAATTTCTGAGAAACCACGCTAATCGCTAACTACCTGGGAAACCACGCTAATCACTAACTACCTGTGAAACCACGGTAATCGCTAACTACCTGTAAACCACGGTAATCGCTAACTACCTGGGAAACCACGCTAATCGCTAACTACCTGGGAAACCACGGTAATCGATAACTACCTGTGAAACCACGGTAATCACTAACTACCTGGGAAACCACGCTAATCGCTAACTACCTGGGAAACCACGCTAATCGATAACTACCTGTGAAACCACGGTAATCGATAACTACCTGGGAAACCACGGTAATCGATAACTACCTGGGAAACCACGGTAATCGATAACTACCTGTGAAACCACGGTAATCACTAACTACCTGGGAAACCACACTAATCGATAACTACCTGTGAAACCACGGTAATCGATAACTACCTGGGAAACCACGGTAATCGATAACTACCTGGGAAACCACGCTAATTGCTAACTACCTGGGAAACCACGCTAATTGCTAACTACCTAGGACATCATGCTAACTGCTAACCACCAGAACCCATAAGTCAGAGTACTGTTAGCCTATGATCAGAAAAACAGATGGTACTACGACTGGGCAATAAAATTTACAGTCATTCTTTGGATGAGCATCTGACAGCAGATGGATTTCTTTCTGAATAATGATGCCTCAGCACTTTAATTCATGGATAAGGTTTGCATAAGAAATGCACCAAGTTTAATGTAGGCTAAGCTCCCACTGCATAGAACAGCCTAAGAAACTTCAGTTAAGGACTTCACTGGGTTGATAAGATGTCCACAGCTGTTTATGAAAGGTGTGTTGGCCGTGGAAAAAGGTAGCACATGTCGATGGGCGCTCACCAGCCAATCAGGTACCGCTTCTATCATGAATATTAATGAGTTTTCCCAAATCACCCCGTAAACAAAAATTTGCATCCTGCACAGCCTGCCATATCACCTCCCGCTTCCTGTCAGGAACCTTCCGGGACATTTGCCGGCCAGACCGAAAGCCTACAAGTGCAGGACCCCCGGTGCGGCACCTCCGGTCCCCGACGACTC